GCATTCGCCCTGGTTTACCATCACCTCAGTATGAGACAATACACACAGACCTAAAACCATATAAAATGACACCAAAACCGGTCTGAATGCATGTGCAGCAGAAAAAATGACTACAAGAGTCTAATGTCCCTGTAGCACAGACACATAGGTGAACACTTCCCAAAGGAGGTGTATCCAAAAATTATACCATAGGCATACCATAATAAGATATAATAGATTAAGCTATTACCATGATGGTAAATCCCAATCAGGGAATCCAAAAATTATACTATGGATATGAATATCACATGTATGCAATGCAGCAAGCACAATATGCGTCAAACTTCCGGTCATGCGCACTAGGTGGAACGCACGCTGACCCATAAGGAGGAAGCCATCTTCACATGCCATGAGGCAAGCTTAAGCAGCACAAGCGCCAAGAAGGGGCTGGAACCCGCGGTATATCGGCGGATGTCAGCGGTGGTTCCTTGGCCTCTTTAGCCCTGTATGGCAGTATCTATGAAGGACTTCTCTTTCATTCCTAATATCCACAGCACAGGTGGTGAGTGGACTGTTACAGGACATTAGATATATGGTCCTCTGTGATCTATATGACCTATATATCCTATATAGAGTGTAAGCTCTGTCAGTGACTTCCCACATATTGTTTGTTTCACTACAGGATGGGGACATCATGGTGCTTTATATAGGAAACAAAGATATACCACGTATATTTCAACAGGCAGAAGATCTATTGGGATGTGTCTTGTTGTTCCTACGAAAAGTGGTGTGTAGTCCACATATAGTGGTGAAGAAACCATTTCAAGCAGAGTGCTGCTTTGTGCATCTTTTCTTCCATCCTGGGAATTAATGGGGCATATTCTCATTCAAGAGCTCTAGGAAACAGCTGTTTATATTACAGATGAATGGGCCCCAACCACTTGTGCCGGCACAGGAATGTACTGCATTATATTTTTGACATTTATGTCTTCCTTCATACAGGCCTGAGGCTTGATGTTCTCTTTTTGACGCATATTGTGCTTGCTGCATTGCATACATGTGATATTCGTATCCATAGTATAATTTTTGGATTCCCTGATTGGGATTTACCATCATGGTAATAGCTTAATCTATTATATCTTATTATGGTATGCCTATGGTATAATTTTTGGATACACCTCCTTTGGGAAGTGTTCACCTATGTGTCTGTGCTACAGGGACATTAGACTCTTGTAGTCATTTTTTTCTGCTGCACATGCATTCAGACCGGTTTTGGTGTCATTTTATATGGTTTTAGGTCTGTGTGTATTGTCTCATACTGAGGTGATGGTAAACCAGGGCGAATGCCCATATGTCATATTTATATATGTGTAATAAAGCATAATTTTTGGAAATTTTTCTGAGTGTCACGCTCTGTTCACTATGTAGCCGCTTTTCTGTGAATCTCTTTTCACAAATCCCCCCTTTTTGTATGCCTCTTTTGGCTACTGAATGGAGACCAAATATTGGGTGACACGATAATTTATTTAACAACCTCTTAATAACTATCTTTAGCATAGTTATCCCAAAATGCACCTAAACATGTTATGTTATTTCATGAATGATTGTAAATATTTTTATAGCCACCCATGCATCCTCCTTAGGCCCCTTTCACACGACCGTTCCGTTCAGGTCTGCCTGTCAGTTTTGCAGGAGGACTTGATCAGATGGTTCATTCACTCCTATGGACTGGAGGGTGTAAACGGACTGTGTCCATTTACAGCTGCAGTTTACACCTGACTGCAAGCATCACCCTGGTATAACCACTCAAAGTCCAGTGATGTACCAGTATGTCGCTTGTCCTTGTTGGGTGTATATGCTATGTTCTCTTATTTTCATTCAGCCCACAGGCTGCATAAAAAATAAAGAAGAAATCACTGCCAGAAAACGTGTGTGGTATGCCCATCGATAGAATATACTGCCCTGCAGGATACACTTCATCCAGTTGCTTTGTAAAATTACAAAAGCGTTTTTTTATATATATATATATATATATATATATATATATATATATATAGCCAATTGAAATAGACACCCTTTTTGCACCAGTGTCAACCTTTCCGGGAATCTAGGTAAGGATTCATCAGGTGATTGTTGAATTCCACCCCTGCCATGTTAAGGTTATAGTCGTGGACACAGGGGTTTCTCAACAATGCCAGATACCGTGTTAATTTGGACTGTCGCGTCTGCGTGATTGGAAGACAGGATGAAAACATTCTGTTTGTCCTTCCACTTCACTGCGAGCAATTCATCATTCCTCAAGAAGGCTTACTCCCCCCTAAGTCGGGTATTTACAAGCCTTTGGGGGAAGCCCCGGCGATTAGGTCGCATGGTGCCACATGAGCCAATTCAAAGATTGTACAAATGTCTAAATAGTGGCAAGCTTGTACACAAATTCTCCACGTATAAATGGTACCCTTTACAGAACAAACACGACAAGAAATCCCAAACTATCTTGCCACTGCTCCCCATGTAATCTAGGCAGTCGGGGGGGGGCTCTACTTCGCTGTCTCTTCCCTCAAACCCTAAATTTGTACGTATAGCCTATGACCCTCTCACAGAGCTTATACAATTTGACCGCATATTTGGCACGCTTGCTAGGGATGTATTGTTGGAATGCAAGGCAGCCAGTAAAGTAAATGAGGACCTCATCTACGCAGATGTTTTGCTGGGGCATATACACATCTACAAATTGCTCAGTGAGGTGGTTTATGAGGGGCCGAATTTTGTAGAGCCTGTCATGTTTAGGATCACCCCAAGGATGACAGAATGTGTGATCACTGAAATGCATGAAGCACATTATCTCATATCTATGCCTGGCCATGGTAGCAGAGAACACAGACATATGATGAATCGGGTCTGTGGACCAATATGACCGAAACACATTCGTTTTAAATTTGGAAACCGTAATGAGTTTCCATGCTAATGGTCTGGCAAGGTTTGAATTTGGGTTTTGCGGCGATATATTGTTGAGCATATAAACTGCTTTGGCCCACAATCAAATTATACAATTCTTCTGTGAAAAACAGCTCCATAAAATCAAGGGGAGGTAAATTTGCTGTTTCCACCTGAATTCCAGGGGGGGGGGGGGCAGTGGGGGGGGGGGGGGGGGGGGGGGGGGGGGGGGGGGGGGGGGGGGGGGGGGGAGTACAGGTGCTGCAGAATCTTTGGGCTGCCAATCAGGATTTGCAAGCATGCCCGGAAGGAAACTAGGGGCTCTACAGGCCTGTGTGTGAATTTTTGGTGGCTGCAGGACACTACTTGTGCTCACCACTGCACCAGGCTGTACTGCACTTATGGGACTCGCCACGTCACCAAGTGATATTGCAGTGCTGGTATGAAAAAAACAAAAACAAAAAAAAAAACAAAAAAACAGGATATACTAGGCCACGGTGCTCGCCAGTTCACCAAAAGGTAGTGCGGCACTAGTACTGGCACTCTGCTGCATATGAGACAAGTCATGCGATCCTAGCACTTCAGCTTCATGGGGTCGAGTATGCCTGATCTTAACAGGGACCTCTTCTCCATCGTCCAAGCTACCTATCAGGGTGCCGCTGCGGTCTACAGGTTCATATTCTAAGGCTGATTGTGTCAGGGAATCTTCCCCTTTGCTCTCACCTTACATGCTCAGAATCCTGTAGGCCTCTTCACCTAGTGTACCTTTCATTGGATATGTTAGACTCTAAATTTCCAGGTGGGGGGATCATTGGGGCTAAATGCTAGTGCTGGCAGCGAACGGGGATGATCCTGCTAACACGTTTTTGGGGACACCAATACGAAAGGGACACTGGTATAGTTTTGTTCGTGAATAATATATTGATCTGTACAAACACTATACTAGTAATGATGGTGATCAGCGACCTATAGTGTGAGTGCGATAGTGCGCGGGCAATCTAATGCTAGCTGACCTTAGCTGGGAGGGACGCTGACATCGTTAGTGGCACTAATACAGTGATCAGTGAACAATACTGTACACTGACACTGTACTAATGGCACTGGCAGGGGACAAAGGGTTAAATGTGGCAATCAGGGGGTTAAAACGTCTCTAACGTGTGTGGGTGCAGTGTGCTGCTTTCACTCACATGTGATGTCTTTCTTCTCTCTCTGGAACAAAATGGTTTCAGGGAACCAGATAGATCCTGTGCCTGTATTTACCAATACAGGCACAGCTCTACTTCTCCATTTGCTGTAGGAGATCGGCAGAGTCCTGGTCAAAATCACTGGCCGAGACCTGCTGACATACACCTCCTACAACGAATGACAGTAGGGGTTAGCGGGGGTGGGGGGTGTCACGCGCAAGCGTGCTCTAAACCCAGAAAAGCAAAGCGATGTATGGGTACGTCGCTTTGCCTGCAATTACTGCCCGTCCGCAATACATTGCAGGCGGGAAGTGGTTAAAGTGACCTTGTTGCGAAACTACCTGTGCTGTCACCCCACCCATCTTCACTCGCCTGGAGAACCCTCTTCATAGGAGGGTGGAATTTTTTAAACCTAGTTTAAAAAAATGACGACAGGCTGACAGCTGCTGTCGCTGTATGCGTGTAGCTGCACATCTAACAGCTGTGGTGTACGGCTACATGCGAACAGCGATGGTTCCCATCAGCCTGTTCTTACGTTTTATAGGTTGAGCACACAGCTATTCGCATGCACCGGTCATTAAAGTGGACAGAATCCGCTGATTCTTGCCAGTGTATGTGGGGTGAATGCCTGTGTGAAGGAGTCCCCTAAGAGGAAACTTCTTTCCTAGTTTTTAGTTTTGCAACAGGACATTCTGAGCATGTTTCAAAGGAGATCACTATGTTCAGATTAGTATCTTGAGTCAGTGTATTTCAAGCTTAAATTCTGTTTTTAGGAACAATTAATAAGATCATATTCTGCAGCTGACGTTAAAACTAAAAAGGATTTGGATTGCAAATCACAAAGTTCCAGTCTCTCAATATGCAACATGAAAGGTATTTGTTTTTCAAAACTCTAAAAGATAAGAACGTACCCAAGCGATGGAATCCAAAGGTGAAACGTTTGTTGGGAGACTTTTCAGAAAGCCACAGTGCGAGCAAGGTCAAAATAATACTGCTGAGATCAGTTAGCATGTGAAGTGCATCAGTCATAATTGCAAGGCTGTTAGCAAAGTATCCACCTGTAATAAAATCATTAGAGTCAAATAACCTGTAAGGAATTCTCCATTAAAGCCGTAAATTCATAAGTCGCCTTTGAATACAACGCTGGAGGGAATGAAAGACAGTACAGACCACAATGTGGGAAACAAGCTATGCATTATGCTATAATAAATTTACAAGATGTAAAGAGCTCTATCCTAATTTCACGAGGAGACACAGAGATCAGAATTTATGATTAATAAATGAAAACGTTGCAGGAATTTTCAACGGCATCCGATTGCATTCCAACTGCTAATGCTTACTTCAGAACATTAAAGCCATCACCAGTCATTTTTTCTACTGAATGTACATAAAACCAAGACACACATTCATCTAAATGTTGGATTTTTTTTTTTTAAGGGCTTGTCTACACTGCCTGTATGCTAAACGCTCCTTTTTAAAGTGTGGGGACAAATGTTAGTTTTGCCATGCAGTGAGGGGACGAAGCGATGTGCATTTTAGTGAATCACAGTGGCTAAATAGTTAGCACTTCCACCTGGCAGTACTAGGGTTGTTCGTTCGAATCACAACCACGGCACTAACTACCTGGAGTTTGCATGTTCTCGCTGTGCCTGCGTGGGTTTCCTCCAGGTACTCCTGTTTCCTCCCACACTCCAAAGGCATGCTGGTAGGTTAATTGGATCCTGTCTAAATTGGCCCTAGTCATTATGAAAGTTAGGGACCTTAGATTGTACGCGCCCCTTGAGGGTTAGGGACTGGTGTGAATGTCCAATATTTGTAAAGCGCTGCGTAAATTGACGGCGCTATACAAGTATCTGAAATAAATAAAAATCACATGGTTTTCTTGTTTTTCCTAACTTTACTTGAAGTCAGCAAAGTGACTGCACAGCAGTGCGCTGCGGAAAATGCTGCACATCACGCCAGTGTTACGGTGTGAGCAGGGAACATAGAAAACAACTGTTAGGCCTCATGCATACTAGAACGTTTTCCTGCTGGCAGCAGAAAAATGCTAAATGTGTCAAAAACACATGTATTTGCAGTACGGTGTTCAGCACGAAGACATTTATTCATTTCATTGGCCTGAGTACTTGCCATTGTAATGAATAAACGCCCAAGCACTAAATGTTAGCGCTTATGTGCACTTCGATACGATTACACGTGTTTTTGCCGCTTTTAGCGGCTTTTGGTCAAAACGTTCCTCTCCTGAACGCGATTCTTCTGCATTCAGATGAGGAACATTTCACTGGCCCTAAACGCTGCTGCTGTTAAACTCTGATAAATGAGTGTGAGTTGAGTTCAGAAGCTTTGGCAAAAACCTGAAGGCATCCTGGTTGAAAAAGGCTGCATTACAGAAAATAGGTTCTTTCCACAAGAGGTTGGTATAGTTGAGATCTGGTGACTGTGCCAGGCAGTTCATCGGCGGTTTGTTTTCTCTCCAGATTTCTTTTGCATGGCTTATAATTATTGTTTGGATCTGTTTCCCTGTTGCTTGAATAAATATGTACCCATCAAGATCTGGGCACAAGGTACAGCGTGACAACTGAGTTTTAGCTTTTCTGGCTCACTTTTCCTTACACTTTGTTTAAATCCCCCACCTTGCCAGCCCCATTGCAAAACATTTCTACTGCTGCTTGACAAAAGACATTCAGCACCCCTCCAGAAGTCTCTCTTTTTCCAATAATGTGCTTTTCCATTTACTTCCCAATCTCCATCTTTGGTTTCTCTTTATTTGCCAGGTTCAGATATACAGTGAAGGAATCAAAAGGGGGCTGAGATAAGTGCACACTGCTGTTCATGAATGTTTTTGGGAAACTTCTGGGAGATTCCAAACTTTTTTAGTGCTTTTGTTGAGAGTGTCAGAGAGAGACCTGTTCTCTGAAGTTGTGAGACAAGCAGACCTCACCATGTAACCGAGAAGAGTCCCTTTACCTGGGATAACATGGACCAGTGTGTCTTTTCCCTGCAGCATCTGAGCAATGATAGAAAGATGATGAGAGACCGAGTTATGAGGATGAAGATACAGGGTACCTGTTATCTCCAGCAGTCCGGAGAATCCACCAAGTGTACCTGGTGGATTCATTTTACACTGATAAAACTGCAGTGGCCTAAAAAAAAAAAAAAAAAAAAAAAAAAAAAGTGCTTCTGTTGTTGCCTTCATCCGTAAAACCTAATTGTGAAGTTGAAAGTCCCCAATGTCTGTGCCGTTGAAAAAAAAAAATGTTTCAGTAAACAAGTTTGTATTTGTGCAGGCTCTATTCATACCTTACCGGTAAAATAACAGAGGGGAAGGGGATGTCAAGGGCAACAAAGATGTCATGAATGCAGAGATGGCGGGACTAGAGGAAAAGCAGCTGAGCCCAGAGAATCTGTGGAGGAGTAGAACAGGTCTGGCAGCCTTCACCATGAAAATTGGAGATTTGCCCCAGGGAAGGCCTGAACAGAGATGGGTGATATGTTGCTGTACTGGAATAGCACTAGTGGCAGTGCTGAAGGGTGACCAGCATTGAGGTTTACTTCACAGAAGGTTTGGGAGACCCATTTGGAAAACTGCATTGTGTGGTGCCTGCAAGGGGGCATCTGGATAAAGAATCCTGCCCTGCTATACCGTCACCCTACTTGAAGTGCTTGTAAGATTACATTTTTCCCCCTAAAATACCAAACATGTTATACTTACCTGCTCTGTCAAACAGTGCTGCAGAGAGCAATTCCAAACCTCCTTTTCTGAGGTCCCCCAATGGCACTCTAGGCTACTCCTCTCCTCATTGTACCATCATAGGAAGGCACTTCCTATGAGGGCGCACCTGTGGGCTCACTCCTGAGCCAGGCTGTGTGTATCTAGTAAGTATAAGGGGGGTGAGGGGGCAATACAACTACTGGGACATTTTTACCTTAATGCAGGGAATGCATTAAAGTGGTTCTGAAGTTTCAAGGTTTTACTACATTCATGCATTATATCCACGAAGGTATAAAAAACCTTGTGTGTGGCAGCCCCCGTCCCCCACTAACACTTATCTCAGCCCCCTTTTGATCCAGTGATGTCCACGAGAATCTCAGTTCTCTGGGAACTCTCACTCTTGATTGGCTGAGGCAGCAGCAGAAGCCATTAGCTCCCGCTGGTGTCAATCACAGCCAATGAGCCAATCAGGAGGGGAGAGGCCGAACAGTAGCTCTGTGTGTGAATCGACATGCAAGGCACAGCTCAGGAGCGAGCCTGCTCGGGTGCCTCATAAAAGCTGTTTGCTATGAGGGCACCTGACAGGAGGAAGGAGCCAGGAGCGGGGGACCCCAGTAGGAGGATCCGGACTGCTCTTTGCAAAGCCACTCCACAGAACAAGTAAGTACAACATGTTTGTTATAAAAAAAAAAAAAAAAAAAAAAAAAAAAAAAAATGACTGATGCCAGCCATATATGGGTCGAAATTCGACCAATTTTTCGTCCATAAGATTTTCGCTGTTAGTGGGTCAATGGTACTGGCAGATTTTCATGGTTCCGCCCCTTTTCGATTATCTGGCATGTTGGAAAATTAGCGAAAAACTACTGATTTTAAACTCAACAATGGCCAAATCATACGATCGTTTTTCCGAAAAGAATATGCGCATGAGCCGCAACCTGGAAGGAACAGAAGTTTCACCTGTTATATGGGGTGAACTTTATGGCCGATTTTCAAAATCATTGATGGCACCATCGGCTTACCGAGAGCGAACGACGTTTTCGATTTTCGGACGAAAAATCGTTCGGAATTCAACCCATGTATGGCCTGCATTAGTATCACTTTAAGGGAAAGAGTGTCCAGGCTTTAGAATCATTTTAATCAAAGCTCTACCTCTGATATAAGCCGTTCCCCTAACCACCAGGTAACATGCATGTTACACGCACACGCAGTAGCTGGTTCCAGGAAACAAAACTATTTTACTGACTGGACCTGGAGCACTATCTGTTGAATCGTACTGTAAACCTGGTTTAGTGAAACCTGTTAGATCAGTCTATTGCTAAACATAGTATTTTAGGGTGTTTCCAATTATATCACTTTACAAGATTTTAATGAAATGCTGGGTTAGCAAAACAGGCAGAGGTTGATTTTCTCATCCTGATTAACTTACAAATGCCAAATAACAAACAATACTTTCTCTCTTTCCTGCTTTATATTATATGTCTGGTTACACAGAATACCACTTCAAGGGAAATGTGTTATCTTTGAAAATACGACATCTGCATTTAAAAAATAGTTCCCCTGAAAAACTAGGCGTTTTTCTCGCTATGCTGTAAAACAACAAACACGGCCAATAATTTCAATATAATTAAAGTGATTGTAAAGGCTAGGTTTTTAAAAAAAATTAAAAAAATTGTTATACTGTAACTGCTCTGTGCAAAGGACAGAGCAGCCCTGATCCTCCTCTTCTCAGGTCTCCCAATGGCACTCCTGGCTCCTCCCACCTGCCAAGTGCTCCCCATAGCAAGCTACTTGATATGGGGACACTCAAGCATGCTTACTCCTGAGCCCTGGTCTGTAAGTCCCTCTCCCTCACTGGCTGTGACAGACAGCAGCTGGAGGCAATGGCTCCCACCGCCATATCTAAGCCAATGTGGTGGGAGACAGCAGAGCGCCTTTGCTCTTGCACGCACTGCTCAGTTTAGATCGGGCTCAGATAAGTATTTGGGGGGGGGGGGGGGCAGTGCATGCAGAAGGTTTTGTTACCTTACTGCATAAGAATGCAGTAAGGTGAAATAGCTTCTGCCTTTTAAAACCACTTTAAAATTTTTGCTGTCAATCAGTGTTATGGAGTGTAGCACTGCCTTTCATATCCAACACATTTGATATATTATCTATTATACCAGGACATCAGTACCTATTGTACCATAGGGAACAGTTGTGGTTTGATTTTCTACTTGGGAAGATGAAGAAAATTTAAAGGAGCTTTCAAAGCAAACATTTTCCAGACCAGCCTTTTTTAAACTAGGCTGCCCTGGCACCATGAGGTGCCTTCTGGGTTATAAAGCCTACCCCACCCTCACCTAACGGCCATCCTCCCTCATTCCTCCCACCACTTCATCCCCCTCAGCCACTTCATTCCCCTCAGCCACTTCCTATTGTTCCACTACCCCCTCCCTCCTAGATTGTAAGCTTGAAAGAGTAGGGCCCTCTTACCCCTCGTACGCTGTCTGTCTTTGTTGTACTGTGCCATGTATTGTCCCCCCTATTGTACAGCGCTGAGCAAACCCTTTGGCGCTATATAAACTCGATGTAATAATAATAATAATTCATGGGTGCCTGAGCAAAATGTCCAAAAATAATGTACAAGCCAATGGGTAGATCAAGTCTGCCTTTTTGTTACCCAAAGCCACAGGTTTCAAGTGCAGCATTACAAACTTGGACACTGATTGATTCAGCCACCAGCATCCAAACGACTGATGATGTCATCGAATGATAAACAGCACAAGGTGTGCCTGCACAGCACCCTTGGCTGACCCTCCGTCAGCACTAGGGTCACTTTGGCTGAGTGGGATAGATAAACACTGGAGCACGAGTCAGTACAAAGGTGTATTTGCTTTGTAAAAAGCAATCAGCTCTGATGTTGGGTGTCCTGTGTGTGTGGATGTTACTGCATTATATAAAATGATTAGTTTAGTTTTTTTACATTTTCTAATGGGGTGGCTCGAGATTGTGCAGAATTTTTAAGGGTGCTTTGACAGAAACACTGCTCTAGGCCAGTGGTGTCCAACTCAAAACACTGTCTCGGGGCTACATTTGTATCCACAAGTCAAATAGAGGGCTGCATCTAAATCTAAAAAGACTAATCTTCCCAGAAGCATGAAAGAATTTGTTTTGCTACTTGAATGTTAATTTTAGTACTGTGAACTCAACCCTATAAATACAGTGTTCAGGGACGTTCAATTTGTATCGCCCAACGCCGGGGACATGTAGTTCCGAGCACCGGGCAGGTATTTTCTTTCAATCCTTAGCCCTGATGTGGGCAAGCAGCAGGGCTCACCTGTCAGGTGGAAGCATTCGGGCGGCAGTGCTGCTGCCGATTGCTTCCACACAGCGCCCTACAGTTCCAGCCTCCTTTGCTGTCCCATCGGTAAACCGCCATGACGTCACTTCCAAATCCCCATTGAAAGCTTTTCTGCCCATCGAGGCCAGGAATGAATGTAATGCGGTGCGATGTGCACTGCATTATGTCCAGTTGAGTACAGGGGAGACATCCAGACCCTGGATGTCTAAATAAAGAGAACCTGTCACCAAAAATCATCCCATAGGGGACTTTTTGTCTCCTGATGAAAAAGAAAAAGGTTGAGGTAAAACATGTTTTTTAAATTGTAAAAAATTAGTTACACCCAAGCATCTACCCCCCACCACATATACACAGGTACAAACGTAAAAGCACATGAAGGGGCGCCTACGCATGAAAATTTGATTGCGATACGGGTTACATATTGCAGCGCACGCCAAAATAAGAGCAATAATTCTAGCACCAGACCTTCTTCGTAATACTAAACTGATAACCTATAAGGGGCTTTAAAAGTATCACCTAGAGAACATATAGTGTACTAAAGGTTGTCACCATCTCACAAGGGCACGCAAATTTAAGGGTTGATGTGTTGGATATCTATTTACTCGGTGCTGCCTCATTGGTTAAAATGCGTAATTTATTGCTTTTTTGTGCGCTAAAATTAAGTGCATTTTTTACTGCACTTATGATAATATTGTGTGACATAAAAAATTGGAGCTACCACTATTTTGTTCTCTCTCCACAGCACCATGGTAATTTATTGAGGACTACAAGCTGAAAGCTGCTAAGGCTGTTGGGACTTGTAGTTCATTTATTCACAGAACACTGGAAATGTATGACGTGAGCCTGTGGGCAGAGCCCCACAAGGCTGCACTTTTTAAAAAAAAAAAAAGAAAAAGGACAGCTTGTATGAGAAATGTCTCCCCATACTGCCGTCACAGGAAGGTAGGGGATAAGGCAGCAGCTGCAGCATTGGAAATATGTTACATGTTCCACCCTAAAATAAGGTGAACTTATCCTTTTATTCCACTTTACAAAGCTGATTGTCACACTATCCTGCTTTATGATACCAAAGCACGTCTAAATCAAGGACAGTCAGCTGGAGTTGTCAGAATAGTATATTACTAAGGACAGATGTGATCAGGGAACAGGGGGTGGACCTTGCAGGCAATGATCTTTCACCTTCATTTTCCAGCTACTACTAGTAGTAGTTTCTTTAAACTCTTGTTTTTTTGCAGAACTACAAACAGCTGTTGTGTCAGTTTTTAGCAAAGAAGACAATCTGGTATTTTTATGGCCAGAGGAAACCTGCATTACTCATACAGAGATCATTTCAATGTTAGCCTGGATGGCCAGAAGCTCTGACATCCACCTTACAAAGACAGTTAGGGACCTGTATTGGGTTGCAATGTACAGTGTGGTGCCCCCGAGAGAGGGGGGGGGGGGGGGGGTTGGGTTGCAATGTACGGTGTGGTGCCCCTCAGAGGTGTATTGGGTCGCAGTGTACAGTGTGGTGCCCCCGAGAGGGGGGGTGTTGGGTTGCAGTGTACAGGGCCCTGAGAGGGGGGGTGTTGGGTTGCAATGTACAGTGTGATGCCCCTGGGGGGGGGGGGGGGAGGGGAGGTGTATTGGGTCGCAGTGTATGGTGTGGTGACCCTGGGGGTAGGTGTATTGGGTTGCAGTTTACAGTGTGGTGTCCCCCCGAGAGAGGGTGGGGGGGTGTTGGGGTTGCAATGTAAGGGTGTGGTGCCCCCGAGAGAGGGGGTGTTGGGTTGAAGTGTACGGTGTGGTGCCCCCGGAGGGGGGTGTTGGGTTGAAGTGTACGGTGTGGTGCCCTCGGAGGGGGGTGTTGGGTTGAAGTGTACGGTGTGGTGCCCCCGGTGGGGGGTGTTGGGTTGAAGTGTACGGTGTGGTGCCCCCGGTGGGGGGTGTTGGGTTGAAGTGTACGGTGTGGTGCCCCCGGAGGGGGGTGTTGGGTTGAAGTGTACGGTGTGGTGCCCTCGGAGGGGGGTGTTGGGTTGAAGTGTACGGTGTGGTGCCCCCGGAGGGGGGTGTTGGGGGTGAACGGTGTGTACGGTGTGGTGCCCCCCGGAGGGGGGGTGTTGGGTTGAAGTGTACGGTGTGGTGCCCCCGGAGGGGGGTGTTGGGTTGAAGTGTACGGTGTGGTGCCCCCGGAGGGGGGTGTTGGGTTGAAGTGTACGGTGTGGTGCCCCCGGAGGGGGGTGTTGGGTTGAAGTGTACGGTGTGGTGCCCCCGGAGGGGGTGTTGGGTTGAAGTGTACGGTGTGGTGCCCCCGGAGGGGGTGTTGGGTTGAAGTGTACGGTGTGGTGCCCCCGGAGGGGGGTGTTGGGTTGAAATGTACGGTGTGGTGGCCCCGGAGGGGGGTGTTGGGTTGAAGTGTACGGTGTGGTGCCCCCGGAGGGGGGGTGTTGGGTTGAAGTGTACTGTGTGGTGCCCCCGGGGGGGGGGGTGTTGGGTTGAAGTGTACGGTGTGGTGCCCCCGGAGGGGGGTGTTGGGTTGAAGTGTACGGTGTGGTGCCCCCGGAGGGGGGTGTTGGGTTGAAGTGTACGGTGTGGTGCCCCCAAAAGGGTGGGGGGTTGGGTTGCAGGGCTCATTGTCGCCCCCCCCCCAGTCCCCGAGTCTCACCTAGCAGCTCGGCCCCCATGAAGAGAAGGTATAGCAGGGCGGCCAGGCCCAGCCTCCTCTTCACCGTCCTCTCCTTCCTCATCTCCCCCGGTGCCGGCAGCTCTCACACGGCTCAGTCCGAACAGGAGGCTCCGGGGGTTCCCTCTCCAACAACGAGTCATCATCGGAGGATAGGGCCAGGGTCCCCCCATTGATGGCCGGCCCGTCCTCGGACACCAGCACCCTCAGCTTATTAATGGTGGGGGGCCGCTCTCCGTCCGCCACCCCCTCCGCTCCGTCCGGGTAGTCGAAGCCGGTGTCATCGCTCAGGTAGGGCGGCTGCTCGTCCCGGCGAAGTTTCAGCCGCAGAGCGCTCCACCAGGCTGGAGGCCGCCGCCACATGGCAGCCCGCACAGCTCAGAGCTCTGACAGCCGACCCGTGTCACTCTCCGCCACTTCCGGGTTCCAGCCGCTAGGCTCTAAAAACAATCGGTCACATGACCCCACGGGGGCGTGCAAAGCAAACACCGAACCACGTGCTTGCCGCGGGCTAGCACCAAGTTGTCACATGACTCTTACCACCAAGTGGGGCGAACGAGCGACCTCCAGCGGTAAAAGCGCACGTTCCGCCCTATTAAAAACTTTCTTTCATCGAGCTTTATTGACATCAGAGTTAACGCGAGCAAGCCTGTCTCCAAACAAGTAAACCAGCTATTTCCGGGTTCTCCCAGCCGGGGATCACATGCCTGGGTCAGGCTGAAATCAGCTGAGGAGGGGGACGCTGGATTTCATGGAGGAAGAGGGCAGCGGCGATGGACAGACAGTAGACAGCAGGATACCCCCGGGGGGAGATGGTGCAGCAGGTAGGTGGACACATGCCTGTCATTGGATGTGTGGTATGGAAGGTAAGTGCACTCATCTGATTGGTCAGGAGAGGAATGGGACTGCTGGCCTCCTGCTTTGTATACTGCCTGCCTGTCATGGTGATCCTCCTTCATTCAGATGTACAGGAAGGGAAATGACATCCTGATCACTGGGATCAATCTGACCACACACTGTACAATCTGATTGTACCATCTCCCTCAGCTCTACCATAGACTGTACAGTACATGGTCTGCCTGACTGGCTATTACCTAGATGGATTGTTTAGGTCTGACCTCCTATTACACGATAAATCTAAAGATTGTAAAATCAGATTGTATAGTTTATGGGTGGCCTAAGAGCCGCTTCACTTGTGTGCGCTGCGTATTCATATGGGTATAGACACATTTACAGCCGCACTACCATTGAACTCTATGGGAACGCGCATTTTGATGACTGCAAAACAAAGTTGCAGCACGCAGGACTTCGACCTGCCTTCCCATGGAGTTCAATGGTGGCTTAAAAACACAAGTCACAAAAGAACGCATCATACACCCGTGAGCCAATCCTCAGCCTAGGTTCATGTGCGGGATGGGAACACATTACTAATTGTATGCGGTCCCAAGCTGCAGGCAAAATGCACTGCTCTTACACAGACACACAGGGGAGCCATTAAAGTGGTTGTAAATCTTAATGCTTTATACCTTAGTGTGCAGGTGTCAAATGCAAGGCCCGAGGGCCAAATCTGGCCCTAAAGGCCATTTCATGTGGCCCTCAGACCTCTCCTGCAGCTGTGGCACCCCCCTCATCGCCACCTTGTCTCAGCAGTTGGCAGAAGAGAGGAGGACAGAACTCCTCTGCTAAATCCTGCGCTTCTCCATGCACCCGCAGGAGGCTCATCTCTGCAACCCCCTATCTTAGCAGTTGGCAGCAGAGAGGAGGACAGAACTCCTCCTACAGATCCTGCAGCTCTCTGTGCAGTCTCAGCACCCCCTCATCTCTAATGCAGGCCATAGACGGGTTGAAAATCGGCCATTTTTTAAAAAAAAAACGAAAAATCGGCCGTTCGATCGGGCCGATGTTACCACCAACGGTAAAAAAATAGGCCGATTTTTGTCCCGTCTATGGCCGGCATTTAACCCCATAATTACTTCTGTCCCTTGCAGAGACGGGAGCACACAGGGGAGCAATACATAAGAATACTAAGAAGAAGAAGAATTCCAGTCCGCTATTATATTTTATATGAAAAAGTCTTGCGGTTGCAACAATGTATGCATTTTGGATACAGATGTTTTTATTCGGATACAAATGGATACATTTGTTGCAACCGTAAGACTTTTTCATATAAAATATAATAGCGGACTGGAATTATTTTTCTTCTTTTCTTCTTCTTGCAGGTCACGGCTCATGCGCAGATTTTTTAATTGGTAAAAACGATCGGCCGATTTGCCCATCATTGCCGGGAAAATCGGCCAATCATCAAAATCGGCCACAAATTTTCCAACATGCCCGATAAAAAAAAATGTGCAAAAAAGCCTGAGAAACGGCCGACCAATTCGGCCGATTTTCAACCCGTCTATGGACGGCATAACTTCTCTGGTCTCAGCATTCAGCTCACTCCAGCCCTCCTCTGGTCCTCCTCCAGACCCTGCACTTTTCCCTTCCCAGCTCTGGCCACAGCAGGTAAGGGGGGTGCACTGTGATGTAAGGGAGGGTGGAGTGCTCTGGACATCTAGTCTTACAGATACAACCGACCCTTGGATCGCAACCATAATGCTAATGTGACCCGCCATGAATTGAGTTTGACACCCCTGCCTTAGTGCATTCTCTGCATTAAGATAAAAGAACCAATCCGATGATGTGGCCGGTTGCAGACAGAGGCGAGGAGAGACTCTATTGTCTCTGATTGCCTCTATGATCATGGAGGACCAGAGCGACATCATGACGTCACATCCGGTCTGCAGCAGATGAAAACTATTTTTTTTTTTTTCTCTTAAAGCAAAAGCTCTAACAAACCCTCTTTATTATTTAATCTTTTGCTTCAAAGGTAAAGGAGAGAGTTGGGGTCTTTGACCCCAGATCTCTCCTTAAAGAGGACCTGTCATGTTTATTTATTTTACAAGGGATGTTTACATTCCTTGTAATAGAAATAAAAGTGATTAAAAAATAAAGGACAAGGACGGGTTAATTCGGTGAAAATGACCATCTTGCCGAAATTGTTGTATTATTTTCGCACACTCCCAGTGCGGGTTCCCTCTCATTTTCTTCGGTTGCTTCAGGCGAAGTTAATGCGTTTTATCTGGGCTGATAAGCACCCCAGAGTATCCAAAAGTACGCTTTTTGCCCATAGACTTCAGGGTGGTCTTGGGGTGCCTAATGTGACTAAGTATTATCAAGCGAGCCAGATTGCCCCGCTGTCTATGTTGCACGCCTCTTCCGACGTCCCCCTCTGGGTCCTGTTGGAACTACCTAATTGTGCCCCTATCGCACTGTCGACGCTTCTATGGCTTCCTCCTGCCCTGCGCCCTATGGCACTGAGTCCGATGTTACTTCATGGTCTACAAGTTTGGGACTCGGTACGTTACTCTGGTGGTCTGATGTCACCTTTTCTGCCTTTGCTCCCAATTATTAACAACCCTCTTTTCCCGCCGGGTTTGGATCACCCAGGGGCGTTTTCTTGGTGGGTGACTAATGGTTTTTCGCAGGTGCGACACTTTTTGATTTTTCGGTCCTTTCCCACCTGGGACTCTCTTCGGGAATCCCGGAATATCCCCCCGGCGGAATTTTTTCGATATCTTCAATTGCGACACTGGCTGCTCTCGCTGCGGGGCACTTCTGCGTTCCCGTACCAGAAATCTGCCTTTGAACAGCTCTGCCAACAGCGTCTGGGCGCTCCGGGACTTATATCCCTTCTTTATGCAGCTCTGAACAGATGCTCGTCGCATACTTCTCTTTCATATGTTGTTCAGTGGGAGCGTGACCTGGGAGTGGCTGTGGATCCGGAGGACTGGAATAAGGCCTGGTCACTCATAGCTAAATGCTCATTTAATACGACCACACTGGAGGCAGCCTATAAGGTATTGTTTCGTTGGTACTGGGTTCCGGCTCGGTTGGCCCGGGCTAACCCTGCCTGTAGTGATCAATGTTTTCGGGGTTGTGGTCATCGTGGTGATGTATTACATATCTGGTGGTCATGCCCGAGACTGTTTCGTTTTTGGTCTCATGTATTTGGCCTCCTTTTCACCTTGTTCCATCTCTCCATCCGCCGGGATGCTCGGTATGCCTTGCTTCATTGCCCCATACCGGGCCTCTTGGCTCACCAGCAGAAGTTGGCTTCCTATCTGTTTTTATCCGCCACTAGAACAATTGCTCAGGCCTGGAGGAGTCCGTTTGTCCCTCTTCAGGGGGTGCGGGATCGTATGACCACTATGATGCTCAACGAACAGATGTCGAGTATCCGCAACGACTCCCAACGCAAATTTTTGAAAATATCGGAGCCGTGGTTGCAATATGCCCTTCCCTCACTCCCCCCGGCTAGTCTGGGGATGTAATGGCGTTCAGTATTGGCGCTCTTGAATCCCTGCTCTTTGCCCCCCCCCCCTTTTTTTTTTTTTCTCTTTTCTTTTTTCTCTCTCTCTCTGTTTTTGGTGTGACTGGACAGCTGCATTTAGTTGTTATAATCAGTTACATTAATGTTTTGTAACTTATGTGCCATTGATAGCCCCTGCGTGGGCGTACCTTTTGCCCTGTTGGCATTAGAGCATTGTTTTTTTTTTCCCTTTTTTTTTAGCCCCTACGTGGGCGTGTTTTATTGCCTCTGTTTATACTGTTTAAAAAATTTAATAAAAACCATTGAAATAGAAAAAATAAAGGACAGTGTAAAAATTAGAAAAAAAAGAAAAAAAAATTTAAAGCGCTCCATCCCTCCGTGTTCGCATATGTAAACGGTGTTTGCAGCACACGTGAGGTATCGCCGCGAACATTAGAGCAAGAGCAATAATTCTAGCACTAGACGATCTCTGTAACTCTATACAGGTAACCTGTAAAAATTTCTAAAGTGTCACCTATGGAGATTTTTAAGTATCATAGTTTATCTCCATTCCACCAGCGTGCACAATTTGAAATCATGACATGTTAGGTATCTATTTACTCACCGTAACATCCTCTTTTATATTTTCCAAAAAAGTTGTGGTCTAAATTGTGTTTTGTTTTTTTAATTCACTAAAGTGTACCATGCACAATACCATGTGACATAAAAGTTGCAACGATCGCTATTTCATTCTCTAGGGCAGGGGTGTCAAACTGGCGGCCCTCCAGCTGTTGCGAAACTACAAGTCCCATCATGCCTCTGCCTTCGGGAGTCATGCTTGTAACTGTCAATCTTGCAATGCCTCATGGGACTTGTAGTTTGGCAACAGCTGGAGAGCCGCCAGTTTGACACCCTTGCTCTAGGGTCTTTGCTAAAAGATATATAATATTTGGGTTTTATAAATAATTGTCTAGCAAAAAATACTGATTTAAACTTGAAAACAAAATGTGCCAGAAAATGCTTGGTCTTCAGGTAAAGAGTCATGGGACTATTTTCCCACATTTCTTGCAGGTACAGCAACTCATTCAAATGAATGGGCTGCTGTGCCCACACAAACATACCCAAACAGATTCACTTAGATGTGAACCTTGACATAGCTGTTAGTGATGTGCTTGGTGTGTTCGGACTAGGAACTAAACCCACATGTGTGAGTCTGCCACGGATCTGTTACCAGTACAAGTCAATCGTGTGACCAGTGCATTCCACTCCCCACAGGTGCCTGCATACATGACCCGGCCACAGATGATTGACTTGTACAGGTAACAGATTTCTGGCAGGCTCACGCATATGGGATCAAATCCATGTCCGTAGATGCCCTAGCTTATCACGAGTAGCCATGTACACTTCAATGAATGATCTATTTCCCTTCTGATCATTCTGTTCTGATACTCAATCTATAGTGTACAACCCATTCGACTGATATTACACACACGGAAAAGAGGATTTTGATTGATATCTGAAAGTTACAATCATAACTGATTGATTACACCTCTGTTTACACCCTACAATCTCATAACCTGATCAATGCAATAGAATCAGACTCATGAAAGAAGTATCTCAGTGCCACCAATCAATGCAAGATGATCAATCATTTTTCACCCTGGCCGTTCAACTTAGTTGGATCAAATCTGATTAAAATCGAGTCTAGCGGTGGCCACACATCCATTGATTTTATTATCCGATCGATTTTATTAAAATCATTGAATCTGCAAACAATCAATTTGTCATAATGTCCCTTCTAAACGATTTAGACTCCGTTTAGATCAGATTCACTCAATTTCAATCAGCCATGGCAGGGAATGATCAGTCGTGTTTCTTCTATTGGCAGTGCCAACTCACAGGGCTCATTGAATACGTGTCCTAGACTTCAAGGAAGTAAATGTGTCCGGATCTTCGCAAGATCATTCAGAGTAATGGAATTAGGCTAAAAATAATTGAAATACAATGTGGAAATGAATATGTGATTTCACATTGTTACCATAGATACAATTTAAAGGATAAGTTCACCTTTTTGACAAAAATAATAAATGCACATTTTTTTTGCAGGTAAAAAAAATGTGCATTTATTATTTTTGTCCGCAGGAGCCTGGAAAGCATTGTACCAGAGATCAGTAGATGGCTGATGCCATGCAGGTCTCCTGCAGACCTGTCAGTATATCTGCTTGCCATACGGGATGTACAAGTAAGCATATATTTTGATATGAAGCTTCAATGAACTACCACGGAGCTCCACAGCACCTTAGTAGTTCATTGAAAACTACAAGCTGACAGCCGCTAAGGCTGCCGGGACTTGTAGGCACTCATTCACAGAATTCTGAGAATGAGTGACGCAGCCGTGTGGGCTGTTTTCAAATCTGACAGATAGTTGTTTCCCCGTACTATCTGTCAGAAGAAGGGGGCAGCGGGCACAGGCGTGATTGCAGGTATGGGAACATGTTACATGTTCCACCTTAACCACTTCCAGACCGGACACTTTTACCCCCTTCCCTCCCAGGGCAATTTTCAGCTTTCAGCGCTATCACACTTTGAATGACAATTGCGCGGTCATGCAACACTGTACACAAATTAATTTTTTACCATTTTTTCAAATCAGATAAACCTTTATTTTGGTGGTATTTATTCACCGCTGGGATTTTAATTTTTTTTGCTATGTAAATGAAAAAGTTCAAAAATTTTGAAAAAGTGGTTTTTTTTATAAAATTTTGCAAATAAATAATATTTCATCATAAATCTTGGCCAAAATTTATTCCGTTATCTCTTTAGTAAAAAAAAAAATCCAAATTTGTTTATAACCAAAAATTATAATTTTTAAACTTTTTTTTTTTTACATTTTTATTTTTTTATATATTTTTTTTTTTTTTTACATACTGTCACCCTAGCAGTACAGTGTCACCATGGTGACACTGTACTACTTGTGGGGGGTAATGAAGATTTTTTTTTTTTTACACGGATTGCTTTTACACCCATATAGGATGTAAAAGCAATCATTTCTCTTTCTCTCTGTCTGCATTCTTGCACTCATTGAGAAGTACTGAGTGAGCTGTGATTGGTCACTGCTTGTCACATGGTACAAGGCTGTTGTGAATAGCCTTGTACCATGTGACCTCTGTGATCATTCACAGATTTCACACGCAGTAAGCAATGATGTCACAAGTGACATCTTGCTTACTACTTTGCATGTGATCACTGATTGGCCATTCAGTGATCACATGATCGGGACCTCGCAGAGAGGTCTCGTCTGACGATCAATGTTTCACTGTGTCCGGAGGACACATCGGGCACCGTATCACGGTGCTGCGCACTCCCAGGGAGCGCGCACAAGCAGGGTGCGGGGAGGCCGTTTATAAACTGCCACCTGACCCTGCACTGCCACCGTCCGGCCGTTTATATGCAATGGCCGGTCGGGAAGTGGTTAAAAATGGGTGGAGCATGTAACATGTTCCCAAAGGTGAACTTATCCTTTAATTGTAAGCAAAGTAATTACCTGAGTAAGCCTCTTATGATTGATATTCTGCAAGTTATATATTCTTTTCTTCTATTACTTAAATATCCTTTAGGACCAAGTAATGACACAATCGATGAAGGTTTGCCAGAAGACCAGTTTCCTGTTGACTTAAAGGCTGTGGAGCAGCTCAGTGAAGGACTCCTAGCGCATTACTTACCCAATCTTCTTCAGAACTCAAAGCATGCCTTACAGGAACTCACGTATGTAGAATAAATGTGCTCCTTTTGGTAACAGAGGACACACTTCTGGCCTCTTTCACACTGGGCATTTGGTTCCGGTGCAAGAGGCTCCAGTGTCGAGATGTGAGTGGAAAGCACAAGCACACCATCCACTCCTATTGCTGGCAACCTTTAAAACTTGGAGAAGTTAATAGGTGCTGTGGCTGGACGGTGCACCAAGTGGTACTAACATTCAGGACAGTATACTCCTAGGGATGAATGGCCAGAATGTAAGCAGTCTGCGTTTTCAAGCTTTCATTTCTAGGCACATACTCCCCTAAACCCTTGTACCACTAAGTGCAGCATCTGCCTGCAGCAGATGTCAGCCTTTCGTAGAGTTTAGCAACCTGCCGGCAGTGGGGCTGGACGGTGCTCCTGGGTCCTCCACTGCATCTAAATGCTGGAGTCTCATGTACCAGGGCTAAATGCCCAGTGCACCCGAGACTTTTAATATTTTATTACTTTATATATAAGACCTATCTTTTACCCTTATTATGGAAATTTACCATGCATTGAGTGTGGGGTAATGTTCAACTATTGCGGTTCTTTGGTGCATCTTATAAATCCTTTGTGAGGTTTGCTGCAGCTGTTATTTCATCTTTGATGGGGCTATTCATTTTTTTTCTTGTTTTTGTTTGACTGAAGTTCTGCTTTAAGTATCTATGTATGAGTATGAAGGATGAAAGGTAATAAAATATGAAATGGTGATCATTATTTCCCCTTTTCCTCATCTGCAAAATTAGTGGTTGTCCTCAAGTTCTTCTGTAACTTATATTTTCCGTTCCCTGTAAAAAGAATTAGCAGTTAGGTATTTTAAAGATTGCACTGGGACTCAATGTCCTATGATAAATCACCCAAATGTCTAAGGAAGAACAGTGCAGTAAAGTTTTGGTGTAGCAAAAGATCAAATTGAACTAAAATGTTTAATTTTTGTTCACCAGAGAAGAAGGCCCCTTACACACAGGGAGTTTAGCCCCTGTGCATGAGACTCTGGAATTTAGCAGCGGGCAGAGGTGTACCATCCAGCCCCACGGCCAGCAGCCTGTCAAACTCCATGAGAGTCTGATCACTGTTCGACTGGACTGAGCTGGATGGTTCTCCCAGCTGTATGAACGTTTAGGGTAATATGCGCCTAGCTAAACGCCAAGGTCAAATGTTCTCAAACCTCTAATGACCAGATGTTCTGCAGGTGTATCAGTTTAGCATATTGAGACCAATCATTTACCACTGACAGGGGTGCTTACAATGATTGGCTTTTATTTTATTTATGTAAAATCTTTATCCCAAAAGGAAGGAAACTATTACTGTAGCTGATTAAAACATGTGAACTGGAGTTCAGCTTCAATTTATAAGTGTATCTAAATTTAATAGTACATATACCACTCCCCTCCCCCCAGACTAACAGTGCTGCTGTCCAAAGGTGCCCCCTGTGCTCTTTCATCCAGAGTGGTGGCACTCTAATACAGGAGGTGTGTTACTGGCCAGATCACCAGATGAAAACAGAGGGGAGAAAAAGCCTAAAAAGGAAAACTAATGCAGCCACCGCATCTAATAGTTGTTAAGTTTCAATATATTACATTTTTGGTTTTGGGTTTAATACGGTAATGGTTGTGCGCATTAGGCACATGGAAGCTGTAGGCGACAGCCATCTTGCTCAGGTCTCAGCCATTTTTGTCATGAGCCCAGTGATCTTACCTCCTTCCTCCTCCTGAAATTAATGGAATTCATAGCCTTTAACTTTAACACACGTCAGAAGAGCCTGTTACCTTAACTTAGGGACAGCAGACACCAGCACACAGGCCTTGGTCACAGCTGTAAATAGCTAATAGGAGTTTTTTTTGGCAAGATGTCTGTTAGTTTCTACTGACCATAAAAAAACTCTACAGATTAATACATCCCTCTGACCTATAGTAAAAGTATGACAAAATCCTTCAGTTCTGTCACACAATGGTTTGTAAGGTAATTAAAGCACTAGGAATACATAGCTTGCCATAAAACATGTACACAGAAAACAGGTATGAGGGTGACCTCTCTGAGATCTGTGCCCAATTCACAACTTAACAAAATTCATAAAATCCAAAAGGAGCAAGACACATTAACAATAAGTATATATTTGAATGGGGAATGTCATACCGAATCCAATCGAGATCATACATCACTAAGCTAGGACATATGAAAGGGAAGACAGCAGTCTTCTACCTCCTGGGTGACAGGCTCATCCGAAGAAGTACTCTGTGTTTGGTATTCCTGGACACGAATTATAATGCTGAACAATAATCTAACAATTTCCAGAATGCAGCCTGGTATATAATATATTAAGATATTAATATTAGTATAAAACTGTGTGTAAGGGAGGGCTACAATACAGTCATAAATATGGTTGAACTCTCAGCCACCACCCATTTATCTGGATGATTGGTCAGATTGTCTCTGTCAACACCCCCTTGAGGGCTAGTTCACACTAGATGCAGTTCAGTGACCTTTTTTTCTGCATCAAAAATGCATGCACAGTGTTTTCCATGTATTCCAATGGCCCTGCTTAACACCAGTGCATTCAGTTTCCGGTGCAGAAAAAAAAGTAGAGCATGCTGCATTTTTTTCTGCACAGAACCATACTGGAACATAGCAAACTGCATCAAAACTGCACCGGAACTGCGTTTGGTGTGAACTGTAAGCAAATATGTATCCAAAATGCATCCGGAGTGCATTTTTGTAGTGTGAACTGGCCCTGATACCACAGAAAAAGAGAATGTCAGGAGCTTTTGACAGCTCTTCTTTTTAATATCAACTAAGGAGCCACTGTGCTGTTTTTGCTTAATCAATTGGACTCTGCCAAAACCAACAACATTGCAAGTATTCTTCATTTTCAAATACTTTTTAATTCTTGGTTGCTTTATTGTCTCTTTATTTCCTTGCAACACACATTTTTTTTTTCTGTCAATATTTTATTTGCACTATTTTGACCACTTCATTATTAAACCCTATTTTGAAGTGTTAAAATTGTTCCTAAGGCTTTTAATGAGCACTAAAGAATCCCTGTCTTTTGAAGAGTGCTACTGTATTACAAATCTCTGAACATACCTGTCTGTGGTGACAGTGCGTGTTACAGACCTTTATTCTAAATCATAGTTGTTGTTATTGCGAAGATTGTGAGTTTCCTCCTTCTCGATAAAAAGGCAGTGCTGGCATTTAAAGGCTTAATTGCTTAACTTGACCCAGTGACAATCGCTCTCCGGCTGCTGGCACCTAGATTGTGGTCCTGCGAGCTGGAAAATCTTTGTGCAGGGTGCAGCTGAGAGTGGCGTTGTTACGTAAGTGACAGCACGATGTGAGATTTGCCAGTCCTTTGTCACGAGTGGGAGAGAAGGGCAGGAGTCGGGCACCACATTCATCACAAATACCACTTTAACCGTGAGTATTTTCTGCACCAAAACTTTATTGTACTATTCCTTCTTGGAATTATTTATGACTTATCGTAGAACATTGAATCGCAATGAATTTAATGTTAAACTGAAAATAGATCTCTGCAAAGTAATTTTAATTAATTACAATAGAAAAACATGAAATAACTGATTGCATAAGCATTCACCCTTTTTTATACGACACACGTAAGGCACAGGTACAGCCAATCACATAATTAGATAATTGAATAAATTATTGTGGAGGAGTAATTTCATACATATTTTGGTTCCAACCACATAATTAGTTGAATGAAGATATCCCGTGTCTAGTAAGTGATTGGAGTATAAATACAGTGTACTACTACTTGAGTAATCTTGAATTGGGTATTTTTATATTTGCTACTACAATGAAGGAAAAGTATATGTTTTCTTACAGGCAGAATCAAGTGGTATTACTGGACACACTAGATCAGGAAATCTCCAAATTCAAAGAGTGTGGTTCAGTTCTGGACATCAATGCCTTGGTGAGTTATATGTAAATGCATCTTTTGTTTATTTGAAACCCAACTCCAACATTTTTTTATTTTTTTTATTTTTTAGTAAAATGGTCCCCTAGCAGTGATATGCTCAGGTGTGTTTGGATCCAAATCTAAACCCACCTGAGACAGTACGCCAGGTGAGAGCTTTCACTGTATTGAGCCTATGATCTGTGGCCAGGTCATTCCCCACCCTGTATACAATGGGCATGTATACTTGCATCTCTGGAGTGGGGAATACCTTGGCCAAATTTGATAGACCCAATACAATGACCGCTTCCTGGTGAACTCATTTTTGTGTCTTCAGACTTGGATCCAAACACACCTGAGCTCATCCCTATTCCTCAGAAACTGTTTAAGATAAAAAAAAAAAAAAAGCAGCTCAGGCTGCAATACTAAACTTCAATCCAAGGGTTTCCCCTGTAGTACTTTCTTTTTTCCTGTAGGAGATCCTTAGGCAAGCCATATACCCATACATTTCCCTATTCAAGCCCACAGGCTGAAATGGAGAAAATCAATAGATTCCTCCAACCATACTAAACAGTGTGGATGAAAGTACCTGTGAAGCCTGATTTTTCTATCAAGGCCAAGAGTAAGAGAATGCAGCATTTCTAGTTACCAGCCTGAAGAGTTTAGTATAGTAAGCAAAATGAAAATCATACTGCCAGCGGACCTCCAATGGGAAGAGGCGTGATTGAGGGGGGCAGAAGGCAAACCTTGAGTTGGGCTGTAAAGGGGAATGAAAGTTTCCCTGTAAAGTCTACAGATAGATTGAGGATGCAGCAAAACACTGATTCCTAAATGTCTGCTTTTGAATGCAGCCCCTTCAACAATAGAAAAGTCTGTACCCTGGCAATGGGCCTCTTTCACATGGGCAAATACATGTCTAGTGCCACCCCTGAAAGAGCCACTTGGTAATTTTGGGCTCCCTGTTCGCCTTGACTCCAAGAACAACCTCAGCCCCTCTGACACACCTGGTTGAATAATATCATTGCGAACACAAGTAACAACACAAGTGTAAAATACCTTTCGCCTGGCAGTGAGGTATTGCCAATAAACACATCCCCGTTTAGTGGTAAACACGCTTAATCTATTGATATGAATTAGCATAGATGGCACTTTGGCAATATATTGTGAAAACTTTTCAAAGTGTGTGTGTGTGTGTGTGTGTGTGTGTGTGTGTGTGTGTGTGTGTGTGTGTGTGGTTATATATCACTATACAGAATCAATACACAAATTAGTGCATCAGCAGCAAACAATACAACTGAACTTTAAATGCATTTAGAATGATAGCAGCTCCATACTGGGTTTGAGTGCACTCAGATAATCAAATGGATGGACAAGAATATGGTACCACTTTAGCTAGCAAACGGGCTAGGGCCTTGGGGCAGTTACAATGAGGGGCAGTCTTTAGTCCTAAGTCTTCTAAAGCTAAACGTTGAAGCTTGTTGGTGCGCTTTGCGGCCGTCAATAAGGCCTGCAGGCAATATTAAATCTACAGAATAGCAGGTTAGGCAGTTCCTAATGGCTCCGTTGATAGCAGTGGTAGCAAGTAATGAGTTCAAGGCCCTCTCACCAGAGCCAGCGACACGGCAGTGATCCCTCTGGCTGAAATTCTGCTCACTCTGGGTTCCCTGGGCAACTTCGGTCTGTAGTGCAGCACATCTGTACCCCGGCAGTGGCTCGGTCTCTCTCTCTATCCACAGGTCACAGCTCTGCACGGACTGACAGAGCGAGGGATGCCCCAGTGGCTTTATCTCTCTCTGTGATGGCTTCTCCTGTGGCTTAGTCTCTCTCTCTATCTCTCTCCTAGACAGCGTCTCTCTCTATCTCTCTCTCTCTCTCTGGACAGCATCTCTCTCTCTCTCCTGGACAGCCAGTCTCTCTCCTGGACAGTGTGTCTCTCTCTCTCTCTCCTGGACAGTGTGGCTCTCTCTCTCTCCTGGACAGTGTGACTCTCTCTCCTGGACAGTGTGACTCTCTCTCTCTCCTGGACAGTGTGGCTCTCTCTCTCCTGGACAGTGTGGCTCTCTCTCTCTCCTGGACAGTGTGACTCTCTCTCTCTCCTGGACAGTGTGGACTCTCTCTCTCTCCTGGACAGTGTGACTCTCTCTCTCTCCTGGACAGTGTGGCTCTCTCTCTCCTGGACAGTGTGACTCTCTCTCTCCTGGACAGTGTGACTCTCTCTCTCCTGGACAGTGTGACTCTCTCTCAGCCTGGACAGTCTGACTCTCTCTCTCCTGGACAGTGTGACTCTCTCTCTCCTGGACAGTGTGACTCTCTCTCTCCTGGACAGTGTGACTCTCTCTCTCTCTCCTGGACAGTGTGACTCTCTCTCTCTCCTGGACAGTGTGACTCTCTCTCTCTCCTGGACAGTGTGACTCTCTCTCTCTGGACAGTGTGACTCTCTCTCTCCTGGACAGTGTGACTCTCTCTCTCCTGGACTGACTCTCTCTCTCCTGGACAGTGTGACTCTCTCTCTCCTGGACAGTGTGACTCTCTCTCTCCTGGACAGTGTGACTCTCTCTCTCTCCTGGACAGCGTATCTTTCTCTCTCTCCCCTGGACATTGTATCTTTCTCTCTCTCTCTCCCCCCTGGACATTGTATCTTTCTCTCTCTCTCTCCCCCCTGGACAGCGTATCTTTCTCTCTCTCTCTCCCCCCTGGACAGCGTATCTTTCTCTCTCTCTCCCCCCCCCTGGACAGCGTATCTTTCTCTCTCTCTCTCCCCCCTGGACAGCGTATCTTTCTCTCTCTCTCTCCCCCGGACAGCGTATCTTTCTTTCTCTCTCTCTCTCCCCTGGACAGCGTATCTTTCTCTCTCTCTCTCCCCAGAGTGGCGTATCTTTCTCTCTCTCTCTCCCCCGACAGCGTATCTTTCTCTCTCTCTCATTCCCTGGACCAGCGTATCTTCTCTCAGAGACCCTGGACAGCAGACCTCTCTCATAGACAGCACAGTCTCTTTCTCCTCTCGCTCCTGGACAGCGTGGCTCTCGCTCCTGGACAGCGTGGCTCTCGCTCCTGGACAGCGTGGCTCTCGCTCCTGGACAGCGTGGCTCTCGCTCCTGGACAGCGTGGCTCTCGCTCCTGGACAGCGTGGCTCTCGCTCCTGGACAGCGTGGCTCTCTCTCTCTCATGCTTCTGGGCAGCGTGGCTCTCTCTCTCTCGCGCGCGCTCCGGGCAGCGTGGCTCTCGCTCTCGCGCGCCCCGGGCAGCGTGGCTCTCTCGCGCGCCCCCGGGCAGCGTGGCTCTCTCGCGCGCCCCCGGGCAGCGTGGCTCTCTCGCGCGCCCCCGGGCAGCGTGGCTCTCTCGCGCGCCCCCGGGCAGCGTGGCTCTCTCTCTCGCGCGCCCCCGGGCAGCGTGGCTCTCTCGCGCGCCCCCCCGGGCAGCGTGGCTCTCGCTCTCTCGCGCGCCCCCGGGCAGCGTGGCTCTCTCGCTCGCGCCCCCGGGCAGCGTGGCTCTCTCTCGCGCTCCCGGACAGCGTGGCTCTCGCTCCTGGACAGCGTGGCTCTCGCTCCTGGACAGCGTGGCTCTCGCTCCTGGACAGCGTGGCTCTCGCTCCTGGACAGCGTGGCTCTCGCTCCTGGACAGCGTGGCTCTCTCTCTCTCATGCTTCTGGGCAGCGTGGCTCTCTCTCGCGCGCGCCCCCGGGCAGCGTGGCTCTCTCGCGCGCCCCCGGGCAGCGTGGCTCTCTCGCGCGCCCCCGGGCAGCGTGGCTCTCTCGCGCGCCCCGGGCAGCGTGGCTCTCTCTCGCGCGCCCCCGGGCAGCGTGGCTCTCTCGCGCGCCCCCGGGCAGCGTGGCTCTCTCGCGCGCCCCCGGGCAGCGTGGCTCTCTCGCGCGCCCCGGGCAGCGTGGCTCTCTCGCGCGCCCCCGGGCAGCGTGGCTCTCTCGCGCGCCCCCGGGCAGCGTGGCTCTCTCTCTCGCGCTCCCGGGCAGCGTGGCTCTCTCTCGCGCTCCCGGGCAGCGTGGCTCTCTCTCGCGCTCCCGGGCAGCGTGGCTCTCTCTCTCGCGCTCCCGGGCAGCGTGGGCTCTCTCTCGCGCTCCCGGGCAGCGTGGCTCTCTCTCTCTCGCGCTCCCGGGCAGCGTGGCTCTCTCTCTCGCGCTCCCGGGCAGCGTGGCTCTCGCTCTCCTGGGCAGCGTGGCTCTCGCTCTCTCGCTCTCTCTCTCCTGGGCAGCGTGGCTCTCTCTCTCTCTCTCGCGCGCTCCTGGGCAGCGTGGCTCTCTCTCTCTCTCTCGCGCTCCTGGGCAGCGTGGCTCTCTCTCTCTCGCTCTCGCGCTCCCGGGCAGCGTGGCTCTCGCTCTCTCTCTCTCGCGCTCCTGGGCAGCGTGGCTCTCTCTCTCTCGCGCGCTCCTGGGCAGCGTGGCTCTCGCTCTCTCTCGCGCGCTCCTGGGCAGCGTGGCTCTCTCGCTCTCTCTCGCGCTCCTGGGCAGCGTGGCTCTCTCTCTCTCTCGCGCTCCTGGGCAGCGTGGCTCTCGCTCTCTCTCTCGCGCTCCTGGGCAGCGTGGCTCTCGCTCTCTCTCGCGCGCCGGGCAGCGTGGCTCTCTCGCTCTCTCTCTCGCGCTCCTGGGCAGCGTGGCTCTCTCTCTCTGTTGGCGGCAACCTCCAGCACCCTTCTCGCTCATTCCCTGTAACCACGCCTGTACTCAGAGACCTCTGGGAAATGCAGACCAACTCTAGGAAATACAGTGTCCTGATGCTGCTCCTGGACAGCGTGGCTCTCGCTCCTGGACAGCGTGGCCCTCGCTCTCGCTCCTGGACAGCGTGGCTCTCTCTCTCGTGCTCCTGGACAACGTGGCTCTCTCTCGTGCTCCTGGACAACGTGGCTCTCTCTCGTGCTCCTGGACAGCGTGGCTCTCTCGCTCTCGTGCTCCTGGCAGCGTGGCTCTCGCTCGCTCTCTCGTGCTCCTGGACAGCGTGGCTCTCTCTCTCTCTCTCTCTCGTGCTCCTGGACAGCGTGGCTCTCGCTCTCTCTCGTGCTCCTGGACA